AATGTTTTATCGTTAAACGTTATTTGTAAGCAAGTGAAAATATGCCATATAATTATATTCACTGTAATACATATTGCATTTTCTCGATTAGATTACAGATTAAGCTAGTTTCAATTGCGTGACTTTCTTTACTTATCACGCCGGTCTTAAATAATAATATTAATTTTTATATTTGAAAAAAAAAGAAAAAGATTAATCAATATAACGATAACGTTTTTTAAATTAATCCTGCATTTAAAGTTCTATATATATATATCTTTTTATATTTCATCAGTTATTACATTATTTACGCTATACTACTTACTTATAATCATACTTAATGAATAATGCGGATTATTATCGAATAAATAAAGTGTCAACAAATTTTCCATGCTTTCGAAAAATAAAGTTATAGACGTGATAAAGCTATGAAATCGACAAATCATTACGAATACTTGCAAATACTTTTGTGATTCATTGCAGGCGTAGCGTGCAACTTGTTACATGTACACTTTTTACGACAAGTACTTAGCCAATGAAATCTCTCGTGAGGGAAAATCTTCGATTGTTAACGCAATACGACTGTACGTCGTTCGATATAGCCTTTAAAATAACACTTAATACGCGAGATTCACGTTCACATACAATAATTCTAAATTATAAATATGAAAATATTAAAATTAAATGATGTTAAAGTATAACATATATAAAGACATAAATTATAAATTCCGTCCGTGAATTATCGTATTGAATAAAATATTACGCAAGAATGTTGTCACAGTTAGATAAGAGGGTGAAAAATAAACCATTTTTGCGTAAATTAACTCGACGGATATTCTATGGTATAATAATTAATAAGTAATCGTGCAAATATATATTGTCACGTTGTTATCCTTGCAATAAAATGCTTATTTTTCAACAAAGATTTGCAACGATATTATTCATCGTTTAAAACAACAATTGTTTTCAAGATGTATCAAGTTAATTCTCCAGGCAAACAATATTTCTGTCTCTCGTCCAATCAGTTTCAATCAAAAATAAAAAGGAGAAAAAAAAAAAAGAAAAGAAAAGAAACCGAGAGATTCGATTTGTTATTCTCTCGAATCGCTGAAACTCGCGTACAATCGCTTCGATATTTTTATAGCGCGTATCAATTTATACGAGTATATTGGACGCTTGGGTAGTCTGCAACACTGGCCGCAACACTGTAACGCGGAAATTGACCAGGGACCACCTCCGGAAAGTTAAAATCGGGCATATCGGGTAAGGCGTGTTCATAAGTTTCGTATTGCTGTATTTTAACCTACTTCTCCGTTCTGGTGAAATGGAACGAGGGCAGTTTTCATGACCAGTGGAAAGGCAGTAGTGCTGCATCAGAATCGATTTTAACATATATCTATATCTTTTAGGGCGTCAAATTAATCCTAACCCTACTTTGTCCCGAATTTCTTCCTTCTTTATCCTTCTTTCCCGTGGAACATCCCATTTCATCCCAATACGTTACACTACATTTATACATTGTATATTGATACAATCATAAATACAAAATACTTTATGGATGACGTTTATCAAATCGATTAGAATAATTCTGTAATCGAAATATCGATACGTCGAAAAAATATACCGAAACGTATTTCTTTTTATGACGATGAATGTTGATTATTATAACGTATGCAATTATTCGAATTCGTCTTTGAATATATATTATATTTTTATATTAAATAATGTAAAAATAAACGTTTGCCAAGATAGATAAAATTATCTATAATAATCTGCAATATATGAATATAATATATAATTTCTGTATTCCGGTTTTCGGGACTTTGTTTTTCTAAAGGTGGAGAGAAATTAAGCCACAGGCGGTATTCATTTGTAAAGAATCTGTCTCGCAGTCGTAAAGATACATATATCTTTCTTAAATATTCCGTACAATAGAGCATTCTATTATTTCGGAGCATTGCACATCCTAATTACTTATCTCAAGTTTTTTTTTATCAAAGCTTTGTCCTTTTTTCTTCCTTTTTTTATATTCGCCACCATCCTCCTAGATTAAATTCCCATTTATTTACGATCAATCTTATTTCCACACATTTACGAATTAATCGAGACTGGGGAACGCTCTTCTCTAGACTTTCCAACTCGATATTATTAATTAACTTTCTTCAACTATATCACGTTAAATTCGTCCAAATAATCGCTCGATTCTTATTAATTCGACGCGCGTATCGAGAACGTTAATCACGCTTAATCATCACGGTGTTAATATCAGTTAATATCTAACACATTGATAATTTTTTTGTAAAAGTAAAAATTTTATTACCTTTTTCTTTCGTTGCTTTTTGGGACGTCGCTTTTAATTTTTACATTCTTAAACTAAATCCTCCGATTGAAAATGGTATTACTATACTAAAAAAATTATTATTAGAAATGCATGTCTCGTTCTAAGATCCTGGAGATCTTAATTCTATTCGAATTAAAAATCTTATCGATGATCCTAATATTCCTGATCCGTAAAGCTAAAGTAAAATATATAGTGTTCCAATACTTTTTTGATTAGTTGAGTCGTTTTATAATTAAGATTTAAAAAAAAATTTTTATACCTAATTTTGAAAATTAAAAGTTTACTTAGTTAACTTAAAATCTATAAATATAAAATTTTTAATAATCTTTCTTTATAATTTTTAAAGTATTAAATCTTAATAAAGAATTAAATTGTAAATTTAAAATTTTTCTAATACTAAAATTTCCTTCATTTTGAGATTAATTTTAAAATTATTGTAGTTTAAATAAAATATCAAATTGCAAATAGTTACAATAATTAGTGTACAGTTATTAAACTTAAAAATTAATTTTTAAAATTAAATTTTTTTTTGATTTAATATATTTTTTAATAAAATAAAATAACTTCGAATAATAATTATTCTAGAATTAAAATAATAAATAATATATTCAATTGTACAATTTCCTTGAGATTATATAAGATAAATTAATATTCATTTAACAATGAAAGTTAATAAAATTGGAAATATTGAGTAATTAAAAATTTAAATTGTTAATATTAAATTTATTGAAATAATTAATCAATAAAAAGTAATGTTTTATATGAGGGAAACAAGGAATTATGTACACCACTTACGACCTTCTTAACGAATTTTAAAAATAAGATATCTTCTACGACGATTCTAAAAAAAAAAAAAATATATACCTTTTTCTTTTGTTTAACTTTTTATTAAACATATTTGCTTGGACGTTGCTTCTTGTTCATTTTTACATTCCTCTTCTATTCCGTCAAACAGGGAAACGAACGCTAATTATATACACCACTTACGACCTTCTTAACAAATGGAGTAACGGAGCGATGTTTGATATGCGGTTATATTTATCGTTCCGGAAAATAGAAAATGAGATATACGGTGCATAATACCAACTTCTTGACACACAGTATCGACAGCGGTAAAATAACGAATTCCCCCCCTCCTTTATACGACTGATATACGATTTATCAGATGGAATAGACATTGAAATTATATTATTACTTACAACGAACGCGTGGAAGATTGTTGATATATATATATATATACAAGTCAGATTATTGAAATATCTTTATTGATATTTTAGATTGAACACTTTTACCGCTATTGAAATTTTCCTTCCTCTCTCTTAACTCAACTCCGATTCCGGATCGAATTTGGATATGAAAAAAAAAAAAAGAAAAGTGACAAGTATTTTTTGAGAGAATAATTAGACGGCAAAAACGTTAAATGATTTATTATCATAATAAGAGAAATAATAGAATGCGACAAATAAGAAAAATAATTTTGGGGAAGAAGTTTTGCTTGGACATTTTTACTACTTGAACGATATTTATTAGAAAGGATAATATATAGAAGGATTAAAATTAACGGTATTGAAATTGTTGTGTTTAATACAAGCCAAATATACTTGTATTGAAAGCCAGGGGAACAATGCTATCTTTTACCTTACATCGTTTGTTCTGCGGCCCCTTGCGGGGTTGAATAGACTTTCAGCTGACTAAAGCAGGAAACATGAAATGAAACAAATGCTTTTATGTTTCAGACATTCAGACATGGGTTTCCACATCAGCCGACAGCAGTGGCATTCGATCCGATTCAAAGGCTTCTTGCTATTGGCACTAAATCTGGATCTCTTAGAATGTATCCTTTTTTAACATTTTTTTTTAACATTCATACGCTCAATTTGATCAGTATCGAATGAGTACTGTTGTTAACAAACGTTGCCCATAAATCTTCCTTTCGTTTTCTTCAACCCTTTCTCTCTCTCTCTTTATTCGCGACGATTGAAAATTAAGAGTTACAAATGAAGAAAAAAAAAAGGATGAACTTACTTTTCCAAATGATTGGAAAAATTTTTTTTCTAAATCTTCTTTCTTGCAAGTCGAATATACCTATTATTACGCATTTGATTGATTTTGAATTTTTACGTTAGAGAATAATCTTCTCTTTCAAAAGAGAAAAAAAAGAAAAAGTTTTCAAGTTTATTTTTTCGACTAGCTTTCTAGATCTCGAGAAATTTTTCAAGAAATATCATTTGAACGAGGGATTAATTAACACGGTGCTTATGGTTTGCTTATGGTTCGTCAACCGTGTGTTCTTTCGCGTGGGTGCTTTTATTGGTCTATTCCGACTAAAGAGTTATCAGGTGGTGAATGCTCATCACAGCTCGATAAGCTTCCTAGTTGGCGATCGAGACAGGTAGCTGCGACAAAGTAACTACTTTCATCCGAACGATGCGCTTTATTGCTCAATAAAATCTCTGTGTAAAGAATCGATCCTCTGTCTACGAAGAATGCAGAAAATCCACGCTTGCGTAGAAATTAAAATAATTATTAAAGCCCGCTCTACTCTCTTCCGGAGATAGAAAGCGACGATTCGTTCAAATCACATTAATTATTCGTCAATTGCAATTGTTGCATCGAATGAAAGGCGGAACGATACTTGATTTCCTTAATTGATTACAAACGAAACGAAAATAATATATAGTTTGGGCCGGCCAGGTGTAGACGCGCATGTCAAACACGAAGGATGCACAGCGGTGATACAATTACAATTTTTAATCAACGAGGGAGCATTAGTTTCCGCAACTGCAGACGATACCTTACATCTATGGAATTTCCGGCAGAAAATACCACAGGTTGTGCAGAGTCTAAAGTTCCAAAGAGAAAGGTCAGTTTTTTTTCTTTTTAACACACACGATTTCTTTCCCTCGCGTCCACATGCTAAAAAGAGAAAAGAGAAAATAAAAACAGAAATAATAATAAACTCGATGTTTCGAAGAAAGAATCGAGTATGTGAATATATATATATATAAAATTTTCTTTATCCTTGAAAGATCATTTTCTTCATTCCACTTGTGAATGTGAATAATTTGCGTAACGAGTTCTAATATATTCCGTATTTCAAACAGAATAACATGCATTCACCTACCATTACAAAGTAAATGGCTGTACGTTGGTACGGAACGAGGGAACATTCATGTACTCCATATCGAAACATTTGTCCTTTCTGGATATGTAATTAATTGGAACAAGGCTATCGAAGTGTGAGTATGCAAATATCGATATAATATTAATTATATTGTAATTATATTATAACATGCGTACATATTACGTAGAATAAACAGCCCGAGCAACACACATTTTCGATTTGTAATTCGATTCGAAGCCATCCTTACTTTATTTATTGTACGCTTTTGATAAATTTTATATAGGCATATGTGTTTGTGCGTTAGATCAAACATATATATATATATATATATATTAATACAAACATATTTTTATGCAATCTCGGAATTAATTAACGTAAATTAATTTATTGTATTGTAATATAATTTCAATTTCTTTCACGTCTTACAATCTTTATATATTATTATATATATATATATATAAAACGTTGTGATACAATACAGAAATAATATCTTTAAATTTAATCGAAATAAATTGATATACAAAAATTTAAAAAAAAAAAAAGTTGAAAAAAGTATCTCAGAAAGTATTCAAAAGTATTATATGTATTTTTCAAAAAGATGAGTGAGATTAGAATTAAGGAATTTAATTTGTAATCATAAGTACGTCATATTAGAATGTGTGCATATGTATAATGTGTGAATGTATGGAGGGGGAACATTAATCCGTGGTAGAACGATGCATAGGATCAATTTTAAAACGTGCATTATCGATCGATTAAAGTTATTTAAAAGCAAAAGGGTTTAAAGAGAAGAATGAAAATACAAGTGGATTAAAATTAAATTTTTAACGGGAGAAGTGATCGAGAAAGTGATCGTAAATGTCGTAAATCTTTGATAGAAACAAATTTGGTAAAAAAAAAATTTTCAATGGGTTGTTGACTTCTTAGCCAAGAAGGATGGGAAATAATGTTAATGTCATAAAAGTCAAATTCTAAAATTAAATGTAATATAAAATATATAATATTATTTAAAAATGTTTAAAAATCCGATGTTGATTGATTATGAAAATGATTTAAAGAAAACTATCCTGATATTATTATTATTTATGACGTTTTAATACTTTTTTCTTTTTTTTTTTTAAGTTTCATCCATTCTTCCTTACTCGAGATATTACTTCAATATGAAAATATAGATATTACAGCTTTCTTGATATCACATATAATAATAATGTCATAGATATAGAATATAATTTGTCTAATCTCTCTCTCTCTCTCTCT